ATTAAATAGGAATTTGTAATTATATACTATTTTTAAATCTAAAATATTATTATACTAATATTTGTAATACATATATAATAATTTAAAAAATTCATTATTATATGTACATACTAGCTTATTTCTTCAAGATGTTTAACCTTTCTTCATTTATAATAGTTTCTTCAATATTATTTTGAAAATAATGACATAATAACTTTTTAGGCGTAATGGGTTTGAATATACCAGAAATTTTTCCCCCAATTTTTTTAATTAACTTCTTTAATAAAGCTCTTCCATTAGAATTTGAAAATACTATAAAAATAATTAATAAATTATCATCATGTATTTCCCTTAATTTTAATGCTGTATTTACAACCTTATCTGTATTATTTTCATATATATCGATAAATGCCATACAATAAGGTGCTCGATTATATAATTGTTTATAGTATTTTGCAGCTTCTATTCCTTCTTCATATGTATCGAATAAGTTTATATTGAAGCAATTTTTAAAACAACCTGTTATTGCATCTCGTACACTTTTAAGTGGATGAATCAATAATATACACTTCATACTGTGACTAGTAAATCTCTCAAACATTATTTTTGAGTGATATTTTGAAGCTTTTAGCTCATTTGCTGCTTGCACGATCTCAACATTCCATGTAAACCAAAATTTGCTTCCTTTTCCTAATTGACTTTCTACTTCTATTTCACCACCATGAATTTCTACTAGCTGTTTACATGCCAATAATCCGAATCCTGTACCATCTTGTTGCAAAATCTTAGATTCATCAACTTTTAAATTGCTTTTCCAAATATTATTTATAAATTCGGAATTTACACTATTATAAGTGTATACAATAAATTATTAATAATATATACAATTAATATGTATAGTACATATTGATTTTTTAACTTACCCAACACCAGTATCGCTTAGCATAACTAGTAATTTTACGAAATTTTCACCTTTATCGCTTTTTGCACTTTGTGATTGCAATAAGACTTTCATTATTACTTCACCCTTTTCAGTAAATTTAATTCTTAATAAAAAATAATTTAAGGATTAATAGATATAAGTTAAATTATTCAATTATAAGAAAAAGAAACATACGAGTTTGACAATAAATTCATTAATGTTAATCTTAGTCTTGAAAAAAAAAATTAATTAATTAGTTTTATTTACTTTTTTTTAAGAACAAGTATAATATTACCTTTCAGGATCGCTCTTTACATATTTTGGTAAAATATCAGTATCATAATTCAAAGCTAATTCTATTTGCTTATTTCCAGCTCTTTCTCCAAATAATTCGATTGTATTTTCAAATAAATCTAATAGATCAAAAACTTTATTTACTGAAGTATTTTTATGCTCTTCTATACTTAACACATTAGGAATATTATTAATTGTTGATAATACTACATCAGAAGCATTTAATATAATTTTGTTTAATTCTTTTTGCCGAACAGTTAACGATTCATTTTCAAAGGAAGAACTAATGCTCATAATCATTCCTAATGGTGTTCGTAATTCTAGATAAAAATTAATTACTATATAATATAGTTAAGAAAAAAAAACGAAATATTATACAATAAATATATTTACCATGAGACATATTAGCTAATATCATGCTTTTAACATTATCAGCATCTTTAATGAATTTTGCTCGCGATTCATTTATTAATTTCTCTTCTAATAATATCATATACCTAACAGCTAAATTTATTTGAATTGATATTTGTCGAAATAGCTCAATTTCTGAATCGGACCAACTAGTATTAGGTGATCTATGAGCCTTTATTCCCATCCAAGATCCATCACATATTTTTAGGATTATAGATAGCATAGAAACTTGTTTGCAAATATCAACACAATATGTGCTGGGTGAAACTTCTATTTTAAATTCTTCAATATCTTCATAATCAAAAGCTTTTAGTTTATTAATAGTTGAATTTGACTGTTCAAGTTTCATATCACTTTTTGTAAAGTTTTTAAAATATTAAAATTGTTATGTTAGGATTTAATAAATTAAATTGATTTTACAACCCAATATAATAAAAAGCTACCTTGAAATCTCTGAATCTTCTAATAAAGCAATTATTGTATAGTTTCTAGGTTCTGAAAGTTCATACGAAATAGCAAACACTCTATCACATGATAATATTTGATGAATATCTTTAACAGCTTCTGAAAGTGTTTCTTTTAAACCCAATCCAGAAAGGATATTACATGAAATTGAAATCAATAATTGGTTTATTTCTTCCTGTTTACATTGTTGAGATATTAATTGATGGCGAAGTTGTGAAAGCTTAATATTAGTGTGCATACGGGAAATTAATTCTCGAGAATTAAATGGCTTTACTAAGTAGTCGTCTGCACCATAATCTAACCCTAAAAATAATGTGTTAAAATTGAATCTAAAGTTGTATAAAATAATAATTATTTGAGAATAAACAGTACCAAAATATTCGTCAGCCCTTGCAGTTAATAATATTATCGGAATTAGCCGTGTTGCCATGTTAGATCTTAGCATCTTTAATAGTTCATATCCATTTATTTTTGGCAACATAACATCTATCATTTTAATTAATAAAATTAATACATTGTTATCATCTGATTTAAGCACAAAATAATTAACTCACCGCTAAGGATTAAATCTGGTAATTCGTTTGATTTTTTTAAAAACATAATAGCATCGTATCCATCACAAGCACAATAAACTTCAAATTCTTTTCCTAATAATCCTTCTAAATAATTTCTATAACGATAATTTAAATAATTAGAATTATATCAAAAATTATATTTAGACAGTTTATAAATTTGAATTTGATAAATAAAATAATTACCTCATGTCAACATTATCCTCGACAAGTAAAATTTTGTGCTTTTTAGTCATATTCACTGATATTTTATCAATATCATCATCTATTAATTTTGGATTCAAAATAAAATTTTTATCTGTAAGTTCATTACTTTGAGACCATTGCAGACTTTCCTCTAAATATAGTTGTTTTTTTGTATATAATTGACGTTCTGAGTTTATTTCACTATTTTTTTCATTAATGTAAACTTGATTTTTCGGTAAGTGTTTAAACCCCGTTAGAAATCGACACTTGAATGTTGTCCCCTGACCAACTTTTGAAGTTACAGTAATTTCTCCACCATGATATGTAATAAGCTCTTTTACAAGAGCAAGACCGATTCCAGTGCCTTCATAACTCCGTGAATGTTGAGATTTTGAGCGATAAAATCGCTGAAATATGTTTAAAAGATCACTTTCTGAGATGCCAATGCCTAATTTAATTTATGAAGAATAAATGTAATGCATAAATATAGTTATGGTAATGGGATCGGTTGGTTATTGGTCGATAATTTAGTTATTGCCAGATATTGTTGGTGATTTTCAATGTACGCACAACAATAACTCATAGAGGGGGATCCCGTCGAAATACGTCAGGAGATGGTTGGCCATGAAAATCCTTTTAAATATAGAGGTTTTTTAAAACTTTAAGTCATTATTTCTTGATGAATATTAACTAATTTCAGTGATTTTTATTTATTTATTTATTTAATTCTATAAGTAAATAGAATTAAAATAAAAAAAATTTCTCGAATTTAGTTAGGTAGTAGTTGAGAAAATTTCATAAAGTTTGAAAAAATCTTGAAAAAAGCAAAACACTGTAGTAAAATTTCTTTTTTTAACTTTAAGCGAAGATTTCTTAACGATTATCTAACCAAAATTGATTATTTTTTTTTATTTTAATTTATAGGCACTAAAACTTTAAGCGAAGTTTTCTCGATGAATATCTAATAAAATTCGATGAAATTTTTTTTATTTCAACTATATAGGATTATGGAATTAAAATAAAAAATTTCATAGAATTTGGTTAGATATTCATCGAGAAAACGTTGCTTAAAATTTTAGTACCAATGAAAAAAAAAGCCGCAGCAAATTTTTTTTAAACTTTAAATAAATATTCCTCAGTGTCTACATAATTCAATTCGACAATTTTTTTTTTATTTCGATTCTACAAACACGCAAATTAAAATAATATTTTTTTTTGAATTTGAACATGTTTTCACCAAGAAATCTTAGTTTAAATTTAAAAAGAAATTTATTCGTCTTTTTCTTGGACTCAATTTTTTTAAGCTTTAAACTGAAATTTCTCATGAACACATGATCAAATTCGATGAAGTTTTTTTATTTAAATTCTTCGTGTTTGTAGAATCGAAATAAAAAAATTTATCAAATTTGATATGTAGTTACTGAGAAATATACATTTAATGTTTAAAAAAATTTGCCAAGCTTTTTTTTTTTTATGGATACTAATATTTTAAGCGAAGGTTTTTCGATGAATATCTAACCAAATTCTATGTTTTTTTTTTTTTTTTTTTTTAATTTTGTAATCTTATATAATTAAAACTTCATCGAATTTGGTTTAATATTCATCAAGAAAACTTTGCTTAAAGTTTTAATACCAATAAATAAAAAGTTGCAACAAATTTTTTTTTTTAAACAATAAATAAATATTTCCCAACAACTACATAACCAAGTTTATCTTTTTTATTTTGGATTTTACAACACTAGAATTAAAATAAAAAATTTCATCAATTTGGTTAGATAATTTTTGAGTAACCTTCGCTTAAAGTTGTAAAAAAAATTTTACTGCGACTTTTGATTTTTTGAATTTTAACCTTTTTTTCAAACGTAAGCAAAGGTTTCTCAACGACTATCTAACTAAATTCGATAAAATTTTTTTATTTTAATTCATTAACTTATAGAATTAAAATAAAATAAAATAAGAATTCTGAAATTATTCATCAAGAAATATTGGCTTAAAGTTTTAAAAAACCTCAATTTTAAAAGAACTTTCATGGTAAACATTCTCTCAATGCAATTCGACCCGGAATTTTGGGGACCCCCTGTAAAAAATAACAACAGAGGGCTGAAAGTCTCTGACCAGCCATGACCGGTTACGTATAGCCAGTGACTAACTGGTTGGTAGCCGGTTATTACCTAACGAACCCATCCCTAGTAAACTTAATATTGCAATACAAAATATTACAAACCTGTATCTGATACCTCAAGAATTATTTTATTACTTTCACTTTCGTGTTCAATATATAAGCTAACTTTAATTTGTCCATTCCAAGTGTTTTTAAATGCATTTGAACCTTTAAAAATGTCGATATATTAATATAATAAATTCTGCTCATTCGTACAAAAAGAATATTGAGTATAAAATGCGTACAAAGATTATAAACAATTGTCTCAAACATGTCGTGGTCCAAATAAACTTCATCTCCCAAATCTTGTTTAAAATTTTCAGGATCTGGAATGTCAATAATATAATCTAAACCTAGTTTTTCGGCTGTACCATGAAAGTTAGAAGCTAATTCTTGAGTAAATCTGGCTATATCTGTTTCACAATAGTGTGCCTCTAATCGACCATTTTCAATATTTGAAAACTGCAAAAAAAAAAATAATAATAAATAAAAATAAAAAAAAATAGTTATATAAATGCGGTTTTGAAATCTAATACAATAGTGATTTATATCGTTTATTAAAAGTCAAAATATATATAACTCACTTGAAACAAATTATTAACTAACTTGAGTAATCTATGAGTGTTACGCTGAACAATTTGAAGGTGTGAGTGCATAATTGTCTCTTGCACACATGAATTAGTAGCCTCATCAAGTGGTGAAAGTATTAATGTTAATGGGGCTACATATAATGATGAGATAACATTAAGAATACATTATTTAATGAGTTATAACGTATATATTATGATAATTGAACTGTACTTAGCAATTCGTGACTAATATTTTTGAAAAACACGAGTTTTTGATGATTTAAATTGGCTAACATTTCTACTTGTTTTCTTTCTTTTTCTTTTATATTGCCATTTGCTAGTGTTGTGCTAACATAATTCACAACCGACTAAATCAATATATATTCATTAGAATATTTCCAAATTTACAGATATAAAAATAAATTAAGCCACTTACTCGTAAAAAGTTTGTATATTCATTATTAAGTTCACAAAGTGGATTAATACCACAAATTAATACAGTAGATAAAATTAGTTCACTGCCGCATGAAATTTTAATTGGAAATAACATCGCTTGAGAACCGTCTTTCAAAAGAACTTTTATATCTTTATCCTCCTTCACTACAAGATGGATTGGCCAAGATTTACATTTTAAAAATGAATGTTTTGTATTTGATCGTTTTACTTCAATATATACATCATAATTTTCATTTGGGTTTTCCATTAAGTTAATTGTTTTAGGTGTTTCGAGTAAATTATCGGATATAATCCAATCCTCATCGCATAAATCTTCATCCTTGTGGTTAAAAGTAGTGGATATTAGACGAGCAGCACGAGGTTGAGAACCTGAACTTAATTTATTGTTATCGATAAGATAAATCAATGCAAAAGGAATGTCTTGATCATTTTCACGAATTGATGTCATTACGATATGACAAGCACTTTCTAAGGAATCAGCGTCTTCAAAAATAATATAATTGAGATGAATTAATATGTAATTGATTTATTAGTAAATAAAAATAATCACTAACCATTAATACGATTTGCCAAATCACTAAGAGCCTTTATTCTTCTTTTGGCTAAAACTTTATGAGTCGTAATGTCGCTCACATTCAACATAGCCCAAAATGTTCCATCTTCTTTAAAAATTGGGCTCTTTGCGAAACTAACATAAACTTCCTCTTTGTAGTTATCATTATACTGTATAAAGCGTCGATCTTTCTCAAATATGCCTTTTCCGGTCGATTTAATTCTTGGGTTTAAGTATAATGAATAGAAAATAAAATGTTTGCACATTTGACAATAATAGAAAGGAGATATTTGGACGCTTACTTTTCATATGCTGCCTTAGTAAGATCAAAATGTTCAGGATAACTTTCACCAAATGGTCTTCCAAATGCTAAAACCATCATTTAGTTTCTTTATTAAAAGTAAAAACATACTCGAAATTATATACACAGTCATAACTAACCAGATGGATGTTGCGATTTACTCATGTATTGCACATGTGCTATACAAATATGCGCAATTAGCAATTTAAGGTATAAATAATGTGAAAAAGTTGTAAACTGAACACTTGCATACCTTGATTATAAATGTAAATAAGGTCAGGGCCGCAGTAAATTTTGGTACTAAACTTTGAATTGAAACAGAGATCCTAATAAATTTAGGGAGCAAATTTATAGCAAATTTACATTAAAGGCTGTTAACTTTTATGTATTAAGATTCAAAAATTATAAAGTACCATAATGTTTTTAAATGAAGGCTCCCACGAATCTTGAGGGCCAAGACAAGTCGAAGACCAATCACGACTATTTAGCAAATCTACTACTTTTATTTCCTCCTGCTTGTTATTATCATTGTTCGTCGACATAGGAATTGCTTTATAAGATAATTACTAAAAAATAAAAATGCCTTATAAACTTGGTCGAGCAAAACTTTGCCAAGAATTTAATATTACGAAGGAGAAAACTGTGTTGTCTACTTTATAAAAGTAACTATATTACATAATTGCATATTAGATTATTAACAGTTACACATTATCGTTAAATGTACGTACAGTACGTATCGGTATAAAGTGGTGCAAGCCGAAAAAAGAAAATTTTCTCATTAATAAAATCGATGCAACGTTAGGCCAACTAAAAGTCGATCAAATTTTTTGTGACAAATAATGCAGATCAATTTATTTGTGCTAGATATTGTGATGACTGGAAAACTGCTACACAATCCAAAATCTCGCGTAACCAACGACGGGCAATCGTACGAAAGAGGTGTGCTAGATTTGGCTGGTGGGTGATTAAGCCTTTTGGTTACTCGGGGTCAACGAAGATAAAGTAGGGTAAGTCACGTGATCACGAACTTAAATGAACAACGATTTTTATGAAGTTTGTAGGGTTTGGATTCAGTGTTAATGTAATATTATGGATAACTTATAATATGGGGTTTATTTTTAATAAAGCAAAACGAAGCATGATCTCTTCGTGGGCCATTTTGGCCTTTATTTATATTACTCAATCTCGCCACTTACAAATGCAATTTCACACTTAATATTGAATAAGCTATATAAAATCGTTTATGTTTAATTTATTAACATTTTTTAAGGATATTTAGTTTGTACATATATCCCTTCATTATTTTCTATCTACCCCTACGTATCCGAAATACCCTTTTCGATCATAAATGTAAGTATTTGCACTTC